CCTCCCGCTAGTCCCATGGAATCCATCCTCAACAACACCCTCGATTCATGGGGCAAAAAGGCTGAAGTAACCGCCAACAACGTCTGGCACAATCGTCTGTCTCTATTCCTTTCGTTTCTTGTTTTCATCGACTTCGTGCCGATCGGAAACTGAGTGTTTGACTCTGCTGTTATTTGATTGCAGTTAGAACAAGTCCGTCGGTGTCTTCGACGGCCTGGGGGAAGATGAATCTGACCGCGAAAGCCATCAGTGGAGGCGGATTTGAGGCTCTTTACAAACAAAACTTCGCAACTTTTCCCAACGAGAAGCTCAAGAAGACCTTCGCTGCTTGTCTCCCACATCGGCAGGTCCAGTTTCAGGAACCCTCTACCTCTCTAATCTTCACATCGCATTTTGCAGCGATAGCCCCGTATCTTACAGCGCACCCTCTGGGCAACAGGCTTGGAGCCACTACAAGGTAAATGCTGATCCCTAATCCCGCTTCTGAATTTTATAATTTTACCCAAATGATTGTCAATTTGATGAACATTAGAAATAGACCGGATGTAACAATTGATTTGGGTGTAAGAAATGACTTAATAATTAGAAATCTTGTGACTGTTGACCAGCTAATGGTGCCTTTGGGTAAGATCGGGTCGGTGAACCCAGTGATCATGAAGGAGAGCTCGGCGGAAAAGTATATTCAGATTGTGACGGTCGACGGATATGATTTTTGGTTCATGGGTTTTTGTGAATTTTGATAAAGCAGTGAAGCACCTCTCGGAAAGCATATCAATTTTGTAGTGCCAGGAATCGCAGTACCATCATCGGCCGCCTCTTGAGCCCGGACTTTCTTTCGGTCCACTGTTACAATTTTTGCTTGGGAAGAAATGACGAGGGAAGGGGCCGGGCTTTTGGATTTTTGCTGTTGTATTTAATTTTTTATTGATACTATCGTATTTAATTTATTTTTTAATGATAATTTCCTGTTTGTTTAATATTCATGAGAATTGAAGAAAAATCTCCCTTGAGAATTTTTATTAGCTTGGAGAACTTAGTAAGTTTTTATATATAAAAAATATTGGTAGTCTGGGCATTTTGTAAACAAGAATACGGGTACTCTAACTTGGATATCTTCCCCGATGACATTTTGAATGAGACATCCCCCCCCCCAACTCAATTTTCCGTTAATATTCTCGCCATATTTATATTTTTCTTCAAATTTAGTTTTGCCTGTGTCTACGTAAATTAAGGAGTATGTTACATTTTGTTCTTTTTCTTCGTAAGATGCTTGCATTATACGGATTCTTTTAATGCAAGCCTGCCGGATCAAACCCTGAAGTTGGTTCTGCAGAGAAACTCACAAATTTTAACAATACTCTTCTGTTTCTATTTACAAGGTAGAAGAGAGAAGAAAATTTTTTGTCTTATTTATAAAACAGAGAGAGAAATTTTTTATATAATGTATACTTTTATTTTTCATTTATTATTGCGTTGATTTTTTTTCATGAGATATAATATATATTAAACGGAGATAAAGTGAAAAGGCTGTTAAATTTTAAATGAAAATTAATAAAATTTAAGATGTTTCTTAGTTTGTATTTAATATATTAAAAATAAATTTTATAAATAGGACCAAATAAATACTAATTAATGCGTTGGGGGGGCTATGGAAGAAAGCTGGGGAAGTAAGTGAGTGCAAAGAAAGTACTCATGTTTTTCCTATAACTTAGTAAGGGACAATTTATTATGCATTATACAAAATAGTCGCATCTAGTTTATCCCTAAGTACTTTAGAAAGTAAAAACCTGCTTACGCTTGAAGCTTTCATGCAGGAGTAATTTTTAGCTGCTGTATTTAAGAATCTCATTATATATTCATCAAGCTTTCATATAGCCTATTTGTAAACTAAATTATGGGTATAAAACGTGCCTGACTTTACATTTTAAGTAAAACGAGGAACCAACATCTGTTACGTAATATATAAGCCAGTTGCTGTTTATTTCCTCTCTTTTTTTTTTTTTTTTTTGAAAATTGCATCGTATGGTTGTATTTTAACAACATAGGGACGTTCATCTAGTTTTCAAATGCATTCCAGCTTATTTGCAGAATAAAATACGCATGTGAACTGTGTTTCACTTTACAACAAAATAAGCGGTTTGCATCTGATTTCATAGTAATGTGATAGTTAAAAGTAATTCATTGTTATTTTAAGAGGATTGTATCATGCCGTTGAACTTTAACAATCTCAATACATTTACAGGGTTTTCGAATACATTTTAGGCTTTTAGCCTATTGATAAATAAAATAAAGATGTGAACGGTGTCTTACTTTATATTTCAAGCAAAATTAGAGGCATGCATCTAGTTTTATTATGAATATGGTAATTTATGAGAGTTAATTTTTATTTCTCCTTATCAGAAGATTGTATCATATAGCTGCATTTTGATAACTTCGATATACATGCTCAGTTTTCAAATGCATTGCAACCTATTGGTAAAATAAAATATGCAAGTAAAACGTGTCTCGTTTCGCGCGCTTTTATTAAAATTGGGTGCTACATCATCAGATTTCATAATAAGCATGATAATTAATGAGAATCCGTTTTTATCTCCCCAGTACATCCACTGAGGTTTCAGATACATTTCAACCTAATCATAAAGTATAGATGCGAAACGTGTTTCTTTTTACATCCTAAGCAAAACACGAAGGATGCATCTTGTTTCATAATAAATACGGTAATTATTGAGAATCCGTTTTTCTTTCCTCCTTCTCGAGGATCATATCATGTAGTTATACTTTGTCAACCTAAGTGTGTTGACCAATTTTTCAAATACGTTTCAGCTACAATTAATCTAACAAACACAATAAGGGTGAAGGCATATTAGATTACATGAAACTTGCATATAGTTGTTGCTACATAAGAAGGGTAAGAGCATGTAAAATCACAGATTTGAAGAACAGCACACATATGGATCCAAATAGCCATTGCATCCTCATACCTAAAGGATATAAGTTGCTCATTAACACAAGATTAATAAGTAGCCAAACAAGGATTATATGAGAGGGATGAAGCAATGGCAGAAAGGGCACTGGAAGAGAGGGTGTGCCACAATGAGATGCATAGGGACAAGGCTGCAGGAAGCGCGAAAGAGGAAAAATCTGGCAAAGCTTCTGAGATTATGGAATCTCAGTGTGAAGGACAGAGGCTGCACCACAATATTCTCGAACGAGGCTGCCCTATTTCCCATGCACGACCACTTGTAGTTGTCCAGAATGATGCCACCTCCCAAGTCAATGGTTGGTCTTAAATCAAATACAGTTGACCTTGTTTGACTGTTCCTGTAGAAAATGAGCCCGCTCTGCAAAATCAAACACTATCAGTGGAAGTTTCATGCGTTCGTTGGAACATAAAAAGACAGGGAGAGTAAGGAAGATATATAGTTACTGAGACATCATAAGCTCGTTCCCATGGAGGAAGGAGGGGCAGTTCTGAGTTATTCAGGAGCCAATTGATCAATATTTCAAGATCCATGGTGACTGGCTTGCAGCCTATAAGATGATCTTAGAGCTTAGACCTGACTTGGAGTGGCGTCTATGAGTCAGGCTCAACGGTATTTATAGGGGAAGCTGGAATCAAAGGTGCAGTGTATTTAATTTATAGATACTTCTTATGACTTTTTTTCTAAAAAGGAAAAAAATATTTTGTACTCTGGATAAGAATTAATTAATGGTTCTTAAATTTCATTAAAGTTTTAATATGAAATACTACTTCCCCAGCTCATTTTTATAAACTTTTTTTTAATGAGTTTTACTTTTTTATAAGCTATATTTTGGAGATCTCTAAATATTTAATATATTTTTTATTTTTATCCATAATTAATTATAAATGGTAATTCATTAATAATAGATACAATATTGTGAGAGGTTAAATATAAGATTTAGTTGACTGATTAGAATAAATTAAAGAAATAAGTTAAATTAGTTATTTGTAATAAATAAGTGTTATCTTTCCTAAAATATCTTTACTAATCAAGTGTATTGGCTTAAACTACCATTATTAGAAGGATTACCTTGAGTAAAAAAATATAAATATAAGAAACAAAGTAGATTGGAATCTTATAGTTAGAATCAAAATAAAAGTCAAATAAGATCTCATATTAAAGATCAGAGTTGTATAAAAGGAAGTCACAAACATGTTTCCAGATGGAATCAAAGGACCAACAGTATGATCAAAGGAGCGTGAAAATTTTCATTTATGACCACATTATTCTTTTTCAGTGCATTAATCATCATAAATTCCAAATTCCAAAGTACTTGTAATAAACAATTGTGATTCTTCTAATATGATCCTCATTCTTAATACCTCTTAAATATAGAATTTATGTCAGATTATAATAATATTTATGACAAGTTACTGAAAGTGTTTTTTTTTAAAAAAAAAACTTAGGTCAGGTCTCTTATTGCTGTTATGTCAAATTCTCCAATCACACTTGGTCATATATGTTTTTTTGTTTCATATGAATTTATAATTAAATATTATTAAATGTTAATATTTTAAAAATAGGATATATAATCACGTGTAATTAGAGAACTTGACAAAATAAATATAAAAAATCTAATGTAAGTATTGTTCAAAATTTTTATTTAATCTATTTTAAAATAACTTAAGAATAACGCTTCCTACTCTTTTAGAAGGGTTGTTTTGAAAATATTTTTTAATTATAGCTGTTGACTAATTTTAATTTTCACCTGCATTCACGTAATTTAATTAAGAAGTATTAGTAAAAAATATGAAAAAAAAATTCATTAAAAAATCGTAATTGCAATCGTTAACTACTTGAGTTACCTATTAGATTTCCAATAATGAACTATAAATCACATTATAGAAGAAATTGTGGTCACATGTGCAAGTTGCTTTGCAATAATTATTGGGGTATTTCATCTTTTTTAAAAGAAGTGTTCATCGTGCAAATTTTTAATATGTGTTCTTTAAGTACGGTTTTTTTTAAAATAAAAAGTTGATAGTTTTAATTAATGATGGAGATGAAAAAATTTTCAATTGTAAAACAATTTTAATGTGAGATTGGACTATTGGAATATACAGGAAAACTAATCAAAGTATACTTCTGATAATCCTATTTTTTTAAACACAAAATTTCACAAATCTTTGCATCTCTTAAACGCTATCAAACTGACAATATGCGAATGAAAATTTCATTTTTTAGGCCAAAGAAAGGAAAAGAATCAAAGATTGCCTCTGGCCTTCGACCATTCGCTGCATTAACTATGAAACGGCATTTTTTCGCATTTATTAGCGTTTTCTTTCATTTGGCAGTTAATGCATGTAAATTTGACTTCTTTTGCCATTGATGCATATGAATATGAGTAATTCCAGCTGTAAGTGATAATTCATTGATTGAACTAAATCTGTAAAAACTCATGTAAATTATACTCCCTCCGTTATTATTTATAAAAATATTTGACCAAATTACGCAAGGAAAAATGTTAGTAAAAAATATCATGATCTCCTATCCCTTAAAATCAAGTGTTTACAGGAAACTGAGGTAAAAAATATTAAAAATAAAAATTCCCCTTTTCTTTTTCCGTTGATTCAAGCACCTCTTAATTGATACAGATAATTATCGTGCAGACACAACTTTTAGCACCGCTTAAAATTTTGAGAAAATCGTTAAAAAAAATTAAAAATTTACAAATTACATATAGAGACCTATTTGTTGTGATTTGCTTATAAATTGTTATGAAAACTTATATTAATGTTGTAATGGGTCCCTATTTACAATTTTTTTTTATTTTTAAGGTCTTTTTTATATGATTTTTCCTAAAAGTTTTAATTTTTCATACGCAGAACAAATTCCTGCTGGGAGGGTTCGGTTGAGAGCTGGCAGCAAACGCAGCGAATCAGAGAGTGGCACGTGCATGTATGCATTAAATTGGGAGAATTGTAATAAAATTCTAAGAACAAAACATAATTATTAAAGAAGCCCTAAAACAACAGTACAGAACAGCATATAATATGATAATGATAATTATAATTTTCAGTATTTACTTATCATTAGAAATTTTTTTATAGTTATTTTCTTTGCAAGTCACCTCATTATAATCCTCGCCTTTAAATTTCAATCACAATTCAGCCTAAGCCAATGCTGATCACGTGCTCTTCTCCCTCCTCCTCCGTTAGAGAATGTCAAGCCATGGCGGTTCTGTACTTCTGTTGCGTGTAGCTGACTCCACAAAGCTCTAGTTGATTTGAATATGGAGACGGCTGGCAGATTACTGCAATGACAATCATTTACCCTTGTTCTCAGCAACAACCTTCATTGTGCGTGTTTGTATTAGATCAGATTTAGGGGCATTAATGTCTCTTCCTACCGTTTTCTTTCATTACCTTGTATTTTTATTCATATACTCTTCCGGTCCTAAATATAAAATCTTTATACATACTCGTATATAAGGGTTCCGTTCTAAATATAAGATCCTTAAACATACTAATATATAAGGGTCTTATATTTAGAACCGGAAAAATATTAAACTTAAGAATCTAATCATTGACTTTAATTTAGGTCGTATATTGATGATCCGGTAAGTTTGGCTACGTTAATCAAGGCGCCTCTAAGTATCTTTCCAAGGTTTACTCTGAACATAACAAAATAGCATGTCTGAAAGTCAGTCTCGTCTTTGATACTACTTCACGCGGTATTTTTCAAAGCATTAGATCCATCATTGCAATTCCCAGATTGATCTAGTTATACTACTTTTTCCACGCTGGAGTATACTGTGCACCAACGGATCAAGCATTTTCTGGCTACAGAACCCACGCCTTTACAATTTTACTTATACTCCTCTGGTTTTAAATATAAGACTCTTATACTAGTATGCATAAGAGTCTTATATTTAAAATTGGAGGAGTATTTATTATCAATCAGGCACACCTAAACTTCTCATCTAAACCCAAATGAAGTTTTTTCTTGTCTTCTTTAAATGTTTCCTATGCTTTTTTTTTTTTTTTTATTTGGGTGCCTTTTCGTTTTGAACCATTTTAACGTATTAAAAAATAATAGTCTGAAACTGCTTCTTGCATGCTTCGTCCCAAAGCCATGTGCATACCTTCTCATCTGATCCGATCCACATATTGCAATCATAGGACCCCTCATCATCCAATCAGATTACGGTATCAGCTTATTATATTCTTCATAAAAGTTCCAAATCATATCACTTCTCTTTACTCCAACTGAAATTCAGCGATGCAGAGAATTCTACGCTTTCGCCATGTGAGTCTGTCTCGGTTCCTGAACTTCCTATACAGCTGAGATGGCCACATTACTATGTTTTCTTCCCCTCCTCGAAGCTTCGCCTCTGTCACTCTGCTTCTCTCCCCTCTGTAACCAGTAAGTCACTGGTTCCAACTTCCTCGCTCTCAATAATTCATCAAAAAATTATAACTTTGTCCCAGATACTTCCCCTTTAAATATCCCATTTATTCTCTTCTGCTCTGTTTTCCCAACTTGCCCACCTTTAGTGTGATCTGGGTTTTCAATGTTTTATCAGCCTATTTTGAATCTACCAGTTTTAACTGTCCTTTTTGTCCCGGAGCCACTCATGCATTTGGATGGTGTATTATTCATTTATTTCTATTTTCATTTTTTTAATATGCTAATCAGAAAAACTGTACCTGATTAACTTCCATTCCTCGCCCACTTCAGCACAGCTGAATTCTAGCTAGCTCTCTTTCGCTGTTAAATGTGCCAACCATGCTTGTTTTTAAGTTCCCTCATTTCCCATTCGCTCATGCTCTCATCTTCACCAATGTTTGGTCCTTCGGAACACTGTCATTGTAATAGACATGAGTTTTGAACATGGTTGTTTGATTAATGTAGGATGTTATGCTTGAAAAAAGTGATCGGCCAAAATAATGGGTTGTACTAACTCTGTACACGCACTTGGCAAGAAGAAGAAGAAGACAAGTATCCCTGAAGTGGTGGTTTTTGTTCCCTCCATCCGATTCCCCCTCCAATCTGATCTTCATAGGGCGCTCAAAGGGCTAGTTCCGGGGGATCTTGCTGACAAGTTCTCTTCCCTTCGGAATCAGATAGTGCTAGTGGCTGAGGACACTGGTGAGTCACCTCTCCCACTCGAATTCACTCGTTAGCTCTAGTTTTGTGCTCTTTTAATATTTCAACGGTCCTCTGTTCTTCACTGGTTTCGTGATTTTTATGAAGTTTAATTGATTCTTGTAGGGGGATCTGCCATAGCAGAACTGCGGAGAGCTCTGAATGAATACTTGGCCGTTCTTGTTGGGCTTACTAAGAAAGGTTTCAGAAACTTAAGCACATCCCTTGCTGCTCCTTTTTTGCCTTCCTTACCTTTCTTAAACGGGTTTTAATTTTCTCATCTTGCAGAGTATGGTCTCGAGGGATTAATAAAATTCAAGTGGAAAAATTTCCAGGATGGGCGACAAGTATGGCTGTCATCCCAAAACTTTCATCATTATTGATCATTTTAGCCCGTTTGACCCGAACGATCAACTCTAACTTGCAGGATAGCTGTGTAGCAAATGCCTGGTTTGAGGTGCTTTCCATAGTTCATCTTATGGCTATGCTTACACTGTCAGAAGCTGACTCGTTATTGATTCCGAAGGACCATTCAGGATCCGGAATAAGGGTTGTATCTTCAGGTTACGCTTTAATACACAAAACTATAATTATTCCACATTATAGAAGGCCGACAACGTGAAACCAGAACCTGTTTGTGCTACCAGATAGCAAGAGGGAAGCAGTGGATTTGTTACTGAAGGCATCAGGATACCTGCAGTTCTGTGTCAGGGATCTTCTCACTCGAATACCACTTGAAATTAAGTGCGTTTCTCTCTAGCCTCTACATTGCAAGTTTACAACCAGAATTGGAGATCTTTTAGACACACTATTAAGCTTTTTCTCAACACAACATGCAGGAAAATTTTACCCCACGGTTTGCAGGATGGTGTATTAGAGGCTTTATACATTCAAGCACTTGGCCAGGTACTTAAAAACCATCTCCATGCATACCAAATAGCATACCAAAATGGCCATTAAAATTGTCTAGTTGAAATCATGATACTATGAACATGGTTCTTTTTCTCTGCGCGCTTCTGCTAAGATGCAATCATGGCATAAAACCTCCCTTTCTTCACTAAATAATAATCTGCCTTATAGTTTTTGTTATAAACAAGGGATGCTTATAATCGATCATCTGGATGACAATTCAGGGAACAGAAATTCAGCTTGGCCTTGCTGTTGAATGTCAGAACGCAACTTTGTCGGTGAAGAGAAGGTTGGCATGTGAACAACTGATTTATTTTAGTCAGGTCTTCACCTCCAACCTCCGAATACTTGCTCATCATTAGACTTCTTAACTCATTAATTTTATTTTGTAATACGTTCAGATTATCTCGCTAAAGTCTACTGATACATCTTCCCCCCCACTGATATATCTTCTAACTTCGGTTAATTGGAAACTTTGAAGAGCAGGCTTATCAGTGCTTGTTGGAATGTGGCTTCAACCAAGATTATGGAAAAAAGCATCTCCGGTTCATCAAATGGAAATTCCTTGAAGCCAAGGTTAGTAATTCCATCAACATTCAATAAAATCCAATAATTCGGATGATTAAATACGTGGGTGGCCCATTTTTATAATGTGGCGTCAGGCTGCAGCCTACTACTACCATGGCCTGATTCTCGACAAGGATAATGAACCGAGCAATCCCGTTGGTGCTGTGTCTTGTTTTCTTGCTGCAGAAGAACTTCTAGCTGAGAGCAGGAAGGCCCGCTTAAGCTTTTGTGTTGCAGCTCCAGTGACCAGGTTTTGTGTGATCCTAAGATTTTGTCTGAATTTGTTTTCCAGAAGACTCTTTTTCCTTAAAATGATTATCTCTCTCTTTGTGAAGGGCTGCTCCCCTCTGGGGTGCTATGAAACATTTACAGCAGAAAATTCCTGAAGTTGCATCGAGGAAGTCTCAGATGTATGGCTACCTCTTGGAACAAGAGAAGTAAGCAGCTTCGTTTGTTAGAATTTAGCCTAATAAATGCCTTAAATTTCTATGGAAGATGAAAGCGATTGGCTCACATATGATGCAGGGGTCTCCAAGAATTGCCTGAGCTACCTGATTTTCAACTGTCATTGAGTCCAGATGACTATGAGCTGCCTGAAATAGATGCAGTATGGGATAGTGAAGGCTGGGAAAGTCTAGGACAACCTTTGAAAGAACATCTTAAAGATAGCGAAGAAGATGAGGTTGAAGCCGAAATTAATGATTTTGAGAGGAATTAGAGACACAGATTGTGAACTGCCACGGAAATCTCCAGTTCGATGGTTGGTTCAGAAGCTTACCATAAAATTGTGGAACGCCTCACTAGAGATAAAGTTGATACATCAAGCACGAATGAGTTCCTCAAACAATTTGTCAATTAAATTTGGTCATACTCACCAATGATCCAAAAATGAGTCTCGTTTGCCAAAATTCTTAATCAGTCTCACTCATGATGATTCGTTCAAGGTTTAAGAAATACGCAGCACGTTAAAGTAGGCAACCGGAGCTTTGAAGAACGAGACCAGTTTTCTCAGCTTTTTGGGTGACTTAGGGGGTGTTTGGGAAACCTAAAACCATGATTTCAGGAGTACTTTTTCGAGGTAATCTCCTTCACATATTTACTTCGTAATCTGTAAAAGCACTTTTGAAACCATGGTTTTGTTTCTATCCAAACACCTTTTTAGTCAGGATGGAATTTCGTGTAAACGACCACATTTCCATGCAATAATTGCATTTTTTTTTACCGCGTGATGGAGATGATTTGGCGTACAGAGCAATAAATAGATATGGGTATGTTCATGTACTAGTAAGCACACTTATCTTTCTATTTTTTTGAACAAAAAACGTGTGACGCTTCTTTTCAATTTTTTGAAAAATACATATTAAATTGACCGAGGAGAGGATTATATTTAGATATCTTAAAGATTATAAAAGTAATTTTTGAGAAGATTGCAAACAGATTGCAAATAAGGAAAATAATTACTTCTCCAGTCCCATATGAAGATAAAACTTTTGTATTTACATATTCACGTACGGAGGGCGTATTAATTTATTTTATTTTTTTGGAAAAATATAGGTAGATCCTTTGAAAGGTCTAGCTTTCATTTAAAATTCCTCAAAAGTTCTTACAACCAGTGAAATCAGAACCCTCCACGGGATCAAGCTTTAAGGGAAAGTGGATGACTTCTTTTGGTCCTTTCGGTAATCGGCACTAAGAAAATAACGAATGGATTGGGGGGGGGGGGACAAAATCATGTTTTTATGACATATTTACGTGAAGTAGTTTGCCTCAATTTGTAAAAAGACTACTTTTACCCGAACACCTTATTAATAGCATATGCACTTTATGCATGCTGACCAAACAGAGCCAGGATGAACAAATTACTCGGAAAGGAGATGAAATTTAACTGATACATATAGAAAGATAAATATATATATATATATATAAAGAGTACTTGATAAGTAGCGATTAGAGTGTATATGCAAACGGCAAGCGATAGATAGATACAGATATGATTAACGATATATACATAGAGAGAGAGAGAGAGAGTTAGGTGGCTAGTTGTGAGGAATAGGAGAGGAAGTTTGAAGGAGCCAAAAGAGTGAGTCCTAAATAGGCAAAGAAGGCCAAATAGGAGAGCGAGAGGGAGACCGCATTGATTCTGCAGAACTTGGCCACCTTGTCGCATATTGGGTCCCATCCCATATGCGATTCTCCGTACTGCGCCACATATCCTATCGCCGTTCCCGCCGCACACCCTCCCATCATCAGCACCATCATCACCTGCAATTCTCTTCATCAACCACTTCACTGAATCGTCCTTTTCATCACTATTTAACTATAATACACAAACACACATGACTTACAATATCATGCAAAAACAGTTAGAAACAGTACTGCCTGCGTTGTGGTATTGCCCGGCGTTTCTTCAGAAGCCGAATCACAATCAGAGTGGCCGCGGATGAGGCACACACTATAGCGTCTGCAGCAACCAAGAATCTGCAGGAGAAAAGAAGGAACGAGTTTTTAACAGACCAGGCCAGCGTGAAGGATTAGTTAATGGGAAGGTTCGTTTGAGATTGGAATAATTAAAATGATACTACTTGAAGGCAGAAGAGTAATAAAAGTGAGCTTGGAGCTGGATCATGAAGACGGTGACGGTTTGGGAGTTAGTGACTAAGAGTGCAACGGAAATTGCAGTAAACAGAACAGCTAGGCCTCTGAGAATGTGCTGAGCCTTGAAGAACGTCATGTTTTGCGGTGGTGGGGTTGGGCTTGATGCAGCGACCGCCATGAGCGAATCAGCTTTCCACTGGTCAGCCATGTCTCAGCTGCTGAGATCTCCAAGATATGGAGAAGAGTACAAAACGCAGAAATAAAAAGGCATGAAAATGGAGAGGCAGGGCTTCTGGCTTTATAGCAAGAAATGAGAACTAGTCTGAGTCCCCTGGGGGGGGGAGGGATCGCCATTCATGGCTGTGGGGCCGACTGATTCAATGTTGTGAAGAAGATGACAAGGAAGAAAATGTGATGTTGAAGAATTGCAAGTTCCAGATCTGGCATTATGCCCAAGATATGGGGGCAGCCTATCGGTGTGCATTGCTTGTAAGCCTCAATTGACTCCAACGCCCCAAACACGTATGCTTAGGCCCTACGGGCGACCAAAAAATGCTGAACATGACCAACAACGCATTCTTGCTGAGGGATACCTATCTCTTAACATGTTAATCATTTGCTGCTAGTTAATTGTCAGCAAATATATTTATTAATATTACTTGTTAGTTTAAAATGATAAAATTGTTCAAATATGTGAAGAAAGTGACTCGTTCCAAATACTTTATATGTATAAGGTATTAAAAGTTCAAAGCACAAAATAAATCGTTAATTGTTTTTTCTTGACAATTTTGTAGCTAATAAAGATTAATAAAATTAATGATGAAAATAGTGCTACCATCCCTTGCCTTTTTTTTTCTTTTTAGTTATTTGAATAGTCTCGCTTTTATGACAGGAATGATTTAAAATATATAGTTGTTATATTTAAATGATACATTAGGAATTTATAAACAGTCTTTTCTATTTCAAAGCAGAAATTATTTAAAAAGAAAAGAACAACTAGTTTGAGCAGTAGACTGAACTTTACATCACTTTTTGATATGTGATTTTTTTTTTGTGAACTAAATTTTAGAAAAAAAAGTTTGGCTCACCCACTATCCAAAGATACATCAACTAACTCTTAACTCCAATCCTATCCAGCATTATAGATTAAACTAGGATGGGGGATCTCATTGTTTACGAGCTGAGATCTTGACTTCAAAGATGTCTTCCCTAGCATTGTGATGTGCTCCAAGGTCGAACCCCTCCCTTTGTAAGTGTGTCCAACTCTTTTGCAGTTGAACTCGCAAACAAGGATAATATGTGGTATTTTGTGATCGAGATTGAACAATCTTCTTTATTTTTTGCATGAGACAATGGGAAGTACAATTTCGTTCTGCACGACGTTACATAATATCACATCTCAATTAGGCACGAGATTGAATTATTGTCAGCTAAATTTTTGTGATACTTGACAAATTCTTATTCCAGTGATGAGAAAATCCCTGTTCCTCATTCTCTCCATTTCCCTGCTTCAGGGCAATTAGCACTTTGAAACTATCGAAACATAGGATTGGCGCAGCCTATGGGTAACATTTCCTATCACATTGATTACGTGTCTCGCTTGTCATAGTGACAGCAATGAGATAGTCAACCACAATGAAAGGCGAAAAGCTTGAAGCATTGATAGATACCATTGAAGTCAGCCACGTTGATGACTTGGTCTTGATGTGATGCACACTTACCACAACAAGGCAGATCCCCATTCTTTAATATATCCGATTTCCGAGCTTCAAGCAAGTTAAGAGGCCACTTTCACCATACTGTCCATAATACTTCAACAGAGACGAACCACTTCGCTGCTATATACTCCCTCCGTTTCTTATTATAAGAGACAAATAACCGAAGTACGTTGATCAAAAAAATAGTTAAAATTAGTTAAGAACAATTAATATGTAAAAAGTATAATTTTTTTTCTAAAAATGCCCTCATTAATAAGGAGATGGAGCATGAGAGAGAACAATTAAATTATTAAAAGAAAGAGAAGTGGGAGGGAGAGAGAGTGTGAGTTGGAGATAATAAATATGGGTAAAATAGTAAATTAAAACAAAAAAGTAGAGACAACTTGTAAGTGTCTCTTATATATAGGAACATGCCATAAGCATCAAATGTCTCTTATAATAAGGAACGGAGGGAGTAATAAAGATCAATTGGTCCCTTTTCCACTTTACTTGCTCAGCAAAACCTCGCGCTTCTGGAAGCAAATTTTTCTAAGAAAAAGAAAGAGATTGGAGTTTCCTGTGAGGCGGTTGGGAGCAAAATCTGTTGCTGCCTTGAAAACGTCTTCTAGTCATCAAGTCTATTGTTTGAAATGTCTAGGGTTGGCACATTTCTGTTTAGCATTATTGTATTGCGTGCCCATGTGGATTTTGAATACACAGAATTAAAAGTGTTTATTTAACAAGCGAGAAAAAGGAAAGAGAGACCAGTCAACATAAAGATGGATGCAAAAGAAAATGATCATCCCACCTTAAAGCACGAGACATGACTGAGTGTTATTACTCCATATATGTCGCGTGCTTGCCTCATTGGCTAATGGCTAATGGCTAATGACAAGTTAATTATGTAATCAAAAGGCATGGAACTGTTACTAGTAAAGTCTGAATTGACACGCGGCTTTCCCCCTTACAAAAACATTCATTTCAACGCTACATGCAATTTCTAGTCTTTAAAAAAACATTAAATCAGCCTTGCGAGGGAAGGTTGATCATGTGAAGTGGCATCATAATAACTGGACACTGGAAAATTCTAATCTGTTATTTCCTTAAAGCTTGACACTGACACTTTGACACTGTACTTTACGGATTTCAATGATATTCAAGGGCTTTAATTGTTGGCCCAAAAAAATGTATTTGGTTTTTAAAGTATTCATGGTAGAAGAAAGCTTGGCCCATAAGAGAAAAGCCCAGCCCGGACGAGGGAGAATCACTTCAGAACTGGACAAGGGGCCGAAGATTTCGGCGATGAAAAAAGCTGTCAAACTCCCGATCACTTATAGAAATCAACCACCAAATAGTAAATTGATTAAGCTAGTTAAGTTTCTCCTGAGGTTAATTTATATAACTCAATTTCACTTGCATATTTTCTAGTGCATCACGCCCTTGTGTAACGATGATGGCGGAACCCCCCCCCCCAAAAAAAAAAAAATCGGCACGAATATAGAAGACAAGGCATTTTCCGTGTTAATGGCTTGTATACATTATCACGGGAATGAGATTTAGGTATAGTTTATTATATTATTGAAATAAAAGATTAGCAAAAATTGAGAATATAGAAAGTATGCACTTTTTAAAAACAGTTTTATCACGACACGACCCTATAATTGGAACGCACATTGCCACATTTGTTATATTCTTTATTCATGATTTCAATCATAAATATGAAAAGAATGTGGGACCGTACGTCAAAAGAAGAAGAAGAAATCTACGCAACGCGAAGTCGTGAACGTCTTGGCTTTCGCTTGTTCGGTTTTCACTGAGATTTGCAAAAAGGGATCGTCTAAGTTCGAAGCCAAACTGGAAAGTCTGATCCAAGACGGGACACGTTGGGGGTTGATCATTTTTTCCCCGGTATAATTTAAATTTCAAATAAACCAGCCTATATCTTTATTTGTCTAGTAAGTGTGCTTGTTTGGCGACACAAAAAAACTAACCAAAGAACAATGAAAGGGGAAAAAAAAGAGTAAAGATATAAAGGCAATTTATTCAATAAGAGAAAACAAGTACAAAATTAAAAAGGCCAATATGCTAAAATTGGACATTTTAAACAAAATCTAAATACACCAAATTGATCGCTGGTCGAGCATGAAATAGAAAAAATAAAGAGTTAAATATATTGACATCCCTCTATTTTAGTTAAATTACAGAAACTTCTCATCTATTTTGAAAATTTATATAAACCTCTTTTAAAATTAAAACGTATGTTACACAAACCTCCCTTATACTTTTAAGATTTTGTTTCCATCCATCTAAGAAACCGTTAGTTGGCTGTTAGATTTGACTTTCAAACATTTATTTTGACGAAAATATCCCTATTTAACATAAAATGTTATTTAAATATTTATATCTATAAAAAGGTAATTTTTGATACAACAAAACATAGTTATAATACATGTATTTTCAAAATTTTTAATATCTTATAAAATTTTTAATTTTGATTATATTATAGAATTATATAATTTTAATTCTTCGTAAAATATTAAAATTTAAGGTTTCTTTTAAATAGGCTAGAAAATATTTTGAATACTTTTTTTTCATCATATAATATAAATTATGTAAGTTTAGAAAATTATATAAATCAATTAAATATATAGTTTAAATTTTTTTAAAAAACTGCTGCAAATATTTATAACCTATTTACAATCAAAGAATTAATCAAATTTCTAGTCAATTATTTTTTTTACGTTTGCATTAATTAAATTACTCAATTTTTTGGCCCAATATGATGAAAATATTAAACAAGCAACAATTTGTAAAAATAAAAAATAAAATTAAAGTAAAGGAGCAAATCTTAAATTCTTCAAAATAGTTTTAATTAAAATTTAAGAATTTAGTATTATGAACGATAAATTAGTAAATAGAAAGTATTTCAACATAAATTTTAATTAAAAAAAATCATCTTTTTAGAATATTGTTAACGAAAAGAGATTCGTATAATTAAGATAAAATACAAGAGATATTAAAGTATTTTATTAAAAAAAACATAAAGACGCACTTTTGCTTTTCCTGTTTAACTGGTATGAAAATTTTAGACAGCGGTTTCTGCTCAATCTAAATCAAGAACAAGGTGCTTGAATGATTCCTTATAAGTGATATTATGTTGGGCATGACAAACCTATTATACGTTCAGGTGTTAATTTAGGCACGTCAATTATAAGATGCCTCCCAAATGCCGTGACGGGAATCAAATCCCCTTTTTTTAAATAAGAAGGTGTAGTTCTTACCGTTGAACCACAATCGATGGGTAGATGCACTTTTGATTTTATGAATGAAAAACGAATGTGTCGGATGGGACTTGTTAGATATCAACGTCAAGGAAGGTTTTGGAAGATGACTCTTGGGGGCGGGGGTCAATCTGTCTTCTCTCCTTTGCCCCTTCCCATCTGCTATGCTTGTTTGCTTTAAACTACACGGTTTTACTATGGAAAATTGTCGAGTGACACTTTTTTTTTTTTTTAAAATAAACATCTAACATCATAAAATATTTTTTTTAGTGTCATTTATTATTTTGAAATATTTCTTCAGTACTATCTATTTTAATATAATTTTGGGTCCAATTTGAGCTCTAAAATATTTGTTATAAACACTTAGTATCTGACAGTTAGCACACACATAGTATCCTAAAATATTTTTCAGTACCAATGAAGTAGCGTTTGATATGATATTTTTCAAATATAAATAAATGGCTAAGATGCCTTTATATCAAATTTTTAAAAAAATATCAAATTTGTCATTATCAGTGTATTTTTTGTTATTGGCTGTTCAACACTTACCATTGTTAATTTATAACTTGTTAATAAATAATTTGTTATTGTAATTGTACTTCTTATTATTTGCTGTTCAACATTTGTTACTACTGGTTCATGATTTGTTAATAAGCTTTTTTATATAAAAACATTTTAATTATTTAACAATATTTATAAAATATCAATTCCTCAAAATTTTGAAATCCGATCCTTAATATAAGATATTGTTTAACTTTTATTTTATTATAAATATAAAATCATAATCTATTTTGCCTCTCATATTTATCCATTTTTTCCAAAATAATCCTTGTAGTCTTTACATATTAAGTGTTCAATCAAATAGTAGTTCTAGTTAATAGATATGATTAGTAAAGATATTTTAGAGAAAATAACACTTAATTATTACAAATAACTAATTCAATAAATTTTTTTTAAAATAAGTTTATTACTAACTCTTATATTATTAAGAATGGAAAGTAATATTAAGTAGCTGATTGGAAATATCACATCAGTCGCGCTGTCCAGATATTAAGTTCAACGTCTTATGGGAGTCGCGCTGTCCAAAAAACAAATTAAGGACAAAACTCCACAGGAAATAAGAAACCGGGAAATTTGCCTCCGTTTCTTTTGGACCATTGGGAAATTGTCAAACATCAAATGATGATACTGGAAGAGCCAGCGTGTCCATGGATCCCTCCCCGCCTCCCCCTTTCCAACTATATATTGAACGATATTATATATAGGTGTGTATATTTTAAGCGGTCTGTCACCCTCCGTCAACTAAGTAAAGCTCCTGGCAGCTCAGTTTGATAAACTGTAGAATCATTGTCTTATCATTAATTAGCTGTATTCGATCGTGCTTCATACGCTTTTTTCGAATCTGGAAGAACAGAGCCATGGCGCCCCTTGCAGCTTCTGTATTCCCGGGCGGTTGTCCACCGTGTCTCCGGTACGAGGCGACCTCATCGGCCGGGAGGTTCAAATCTAATCGGATACCTCTTGCGAACTGGCGATTGGCGGTGTCGGTGGAAGAGGCCACTCGGTCGACGGCCACGGGGATATTGGAGAAGCGAGGAGAAGAAGAGGGAATGAGGGTGGAAAGGGCGGTGGTGGAGGAAGGGAGTGAGTGGTGGGAGCAGGCGAATGAGGAAAGGAAAGGATGGAAGGCGTACTTGGAGGAATCGGAGGAGATGATCAGGCCGGACGGTGGACCGCCTCGCTGGTTTTCGCCATTAGACGTTGGTTCCCGATTCAATAATTCTCCCCTGCTGCTCTTCCTTCCTGGTTAGTACCCAACGATTGGGGACCACTCCCTCTTTAGTGTTTGGTTTAACTTGTTACAATTTATGGTTTTAAATGTTGCCAAGTACCTTTTTTATTTAGTATGTTTTTAATTTTAATTTTTGAATGGAAGAAAAAGTATGCTTGTATGCTTTTGTTATCTTTTTTTTTTCTAATTAAATAGTGAGAATGACAAATAAAAACTTTGAAAATGAGAGAATTTCAAATTAAGATTTGTTATAAGATTTGATAACTCTTAATTTATAAATAATAACAAATTTTTGTGAAAATATTTAATGTGAAATTTTCTAATTTTTATGGGCTTTTTTGTCATTTTCCAATTTAGGAATGTAAGTGGCGCCTGTTATGATTTAGTTTGCAATCTTTCTTTTTTTTTTCCCCTGGAAATTTGCAATTAAGTTTTATGTTAAAAAAGAATTATACAAATTTTAGTTGTTTCTGGAGAAGCGCTGGTGCCTGATGCGCATGTTTTATGTACACGTTAGGAGAAGTATACAGGATCCCTTCCTGGCCGGAAAAATAAAAAATAAAAAACAGCAGAAGAAGTATCGTATCCCTAGTAGCACTTTCGAGTCCCTAGCCCTAGATTTTCCCTTATTTATTATACATAAAAAGAGATGCGGTTTTGCCGGACATGGATTTGAAAAGGTACAATGATAATATGATAATAATAAAAGAAGGGTAATTGGTCAGACGTTTTCAAAGTGAAAGCAGTGGCTACTGGCTATCGTGCCAGGACATGTGCTTAAGCAGATGCATTATGGCTTGAAGTGACCCAGTGCTTTGGCAGTTTCCTTGCTTGGATGCCGTATGCTATTGCTTGCTCTATTTTTATTACAGCAATTTTTGCTGTGAGGGTAAATATTAAATATTTTATTAAATAATATTTTTAACTAATACATATAATTAGTAATGATATTTTGAAAAATATAATAACTAATTGTTATAAATAAATAACTTAAGAAATTTTTTTAATTTAATAAAATTAGTCAAATAATTTTTATATTAAAATTATGTCCTAATTATAGGAAGAATTTTTATTTTCTTTTTGGTCCTCTAAATGTAGGCTGGTGATCATTATTATGTGGTTTTCACATTTGTGAAAACGGGTGAAGTTTTTTTTTTAAAAAAATAAACAGCAGCGTAACAGGGTTTCTTTTATAATTCTTATTCAAATTATATATAATAATTTTGAGGTAAAGAACAGTATTTCTCAAATTCTATATTCATGCCATTCATATTATTCATATTTCTCAAATTCTATATTCATGCATTTCATAGGCCCACACTGTTTTTCTGATATAAAAATATAAAGGTTAAGGGGATAACTTTTCATATGATGTCATATATATGCGATAAAAACAAGTACCTTTATTAATGAGATTAAATTAATGTTATAACTCAATAATCGTAATTTTACTTTGAATCTTATTTTAACTTAGTCAGTTGGGTGGTGGAATGCGTATTTATTCCTTTTTTTTTGGGGGGGGGGGGGGCGGGGGGAGTGGAAGGGCACCATGGTGTGTCGACTGGCGGTGACCATATGTGGCTTTCAAGGATACGTAGAAGTCATGGCCTAAAAGAGGATGAATAGAAGTTTATTTTGATTTAGTTCAACCTAAAAATTAAATTAAAGAGAGATATTTAGTTCAGCAAATAGATTTCCTTTACGTATGTCATTTACAAGCGTTTAGTATTATTGAATATTGACCCACTTTAATGAAATCAAAATATGAATTATGACAAATGATATTCATGAAAGTATGCTTACGTCATAATTAATGTTTTAGGGATTGATGGCGTCGGTCTTGGAATGATCTCAAGTCATAAGAAGCTGGGAAGGTACTCAAAACCTTCATGTTATGATTGGAGTTCACTTTGTAACTGACCAGACAAATAATTGGAAGCCAAACTGTTTCTGCTTGCTTCTTGATGTTACTCTAATAATGTTATTTATGCTAACTGTTTATGAGAAAAAAGAGATAATTTGTTGACTGGTTTGTGAGAAATATTCTTTCTTTTCCTGAATGAAGGATTATGACATATGGTGCTTGCATATTCCGGTTATGGATCGAACACCATTTACGGTCCTTCTCTTTTCCCCTCGTCTCTTTATAACATGTCGTTTTTCACTGACTTTGCATATTGTCTGTGTCTATTCCCCCGTTGGTTATTGCAGAGCTTGTGAAGATGGTTGAGAGAACTGTTAGGTCAGAGAATCAACGCTCGCCAAAACGACCCATATACCTTGTGGGTGATTCTGTAGGAGCATGCCTTGCCCTGGCTGTTGCTGCCCGTAACCCTGATATTGATCTGGTATTAATTTTGGCCAACCCAGGTAAATTTTAACCTCCAACTTCCTAAGATGTAGCCAAAGTTTTATCTTTTTTGGTTTTGTTAATCATCGGCAACGAATAGTCAAATCAGGACGATAATTCAACACCATAAGCATGAACAAAAGTGAGAGCTGTACATCAGGAAATGCTGAGTAAGTTGCACGGTGAATTGCAGTTCTGTTGTGTGGTATATGTATACTCATCAGTAAAATTTAGTTAAAGGAATGCCAGGGGAAATGAAATGAAATGATGAAACTTATTGTAATTGGTAGTGTTGTTGATCCCGAGTTTTGTAAGAACAATATACGTGAATGTCTCTGCCGCACTGTACATGTCAATGAATGGATGACCACAAATACCTAACTGTTCCTCACCCAAATGCTCATTTTGGCAGCTACTTCATTCGACAGGTCACAGCTGCAACTTCTAACCCCATTGTTGGAAACTATGCCTGGCCAAATATCTCCTGGCCTGCCTTATTTTCTCGGTTTGATGGCAGGTTTGATTTTTGTTTCTCAAGTTATAGTATTTACTTGATGTCCATGCTAGATGCGTGGGTTTATTTTCTATCCCGAAAGCTACATATGCCTTGAAATGCGGGACAAAAAGAAAATCTGAATATGAAAAGTAGTTTTCGCCCCAGGCACTGAAACTTTTTCAAAGCCAATCATTTTACCATAGATCAAGCACCAACATGGCGTCTTTCTCTTTCACCAAAATTAGGAAAAAAAAACTGTCTTTCTCCATTTATGCCTTC